GACTCAGTTGCTGCACCTGTAAAATGGAGATAATGCCCACATAATAGTTTAGCTAACATGCACTTCACACTTGACACTTATTAATTCAGTTAATCTTCATAACATTTCTAGGAATTAAGTATTAGTGTAGTGGTTATTTTTCAGATGAGGAAATTAAGACACAGAGAAGTTAAATAGCAAGTTCAAGTTAATGTAACTTGTAAGTGGTAGAGCTGGGATTCTGAATTTGGACAGTCTAACCCCAGAGCCTGTGTCTTTAACTATTGCACCAGACTGTATCGGTCACAGAATATGAACAAGGATTAATTGAGATAAACACTTAAAGCACTGGGTATGGTGCTTGGCACAGAGTAGGTGCTCACTAAATGGTAGCTGTTACCACCAGAGCTGAGAAATCTGCCTCCATGTGGGCATGTGGAAGTGTGGCCCTGGGTCAGGCGATGCAGGACAGACATGGGCCCTCCTGCTGGCCTGGGGTTTGCACAGTGTCAGGGCTTCTTCCATCCTAGTTCTGTCAGACAGGGCTTATTGGCAAAAGCCTTGTCTGTCCAATCCCAAAGCTGCCTGCCAAGCCCCGAGAGGAACACACAGGAGCTGAAACTGAGTGACCGTAGGGAGGGGCTCCCACCCAGCGAGCCAGTTAGTTGCTCAGGAATCATTTTTCTGGCTCAGCTTCAGAGGAATTTCATTTCCTGGTGTCTTACCCGTTGGGTCAGGACTGCCAGATAAGCTGCCTGTGGAACAGAGTGGGGCCGCTGCCTAAATTGGCACAGGATGAAGGATTAGTGCCAGGAAGCCAAGGAGACCCTGCAGGGACTCAGGGAAACCCAGATGTGGGCTTCAGAGGAGGGGAGTATCAGGCTTGCTTTTGTTTCCTTGACATGTGGATCTTGGCCCTTTGCCTCACCCTGGGAACAGCTGGGTCAGCAGTGAGCAGTTCCGGCACACCTGCCCCCTGTGGTGCTATAAAGGCAACATGGTTTATGGCTAAAGGCTTTTGGATTCCCATCATGGCTCTGCCACTTTTCAATTGTGTGACCTTGGCTGTTTATTCCTCTTCTCTGAGCCTCGGTTTTCTCTTTTGTGAGAAAACTGACAATCAAATGAAGTAACCTAGGACAGCAACTTATATACCATGGGTGCTCAGTAAATGTCCTTAGTCATGGATAGGTGCAGCTGGGGAATGTGGAGAAACATAAAATGCAATCCCTCATCTTTAAGGAAGTTATAGTCTAGGTGGGGGAGAGGTAGTAAGACAGGTAAACATATAAATTACAATGCCAGGACTGCAAATAATATACACAAGCCAACAAGTGTAATGGACAATGAGAGCTTTGGGGGGTCAGAGGTAGGATAGCTGCCCTGTGGGCTAAGCTGGTCAGGAAAGACTTTCCAAACAAGTGAACCTTGCAGGTGTGCAGAAGTTGGGGATGAAAGTGAGGGGCACCCCAGGGAAACATCTGAGATGAGGCTAAGTAGTTGAAGTTCAGGGGATGGAGAAGGGACCAGTTGGACTAGAACCAAGGGTTTGTGAGAGACTAGAGTGAGATGGGATTCAATCGGTAGATTGGAGCTAGGTGGTGAAGGGCTTTGAATGCCACGCTAAGGAGTTCGGAATTTATCTGAAGGTTTTTTCACAGGAAAATGACATCAATATCATGACCTTGATTCGGTATATTCTTTTTTTTTAATTTACAGGATGTTTATTTATTATTATTATTTTAATGTTTTTATTGATTTTTAGAGAGAGAGGGAGGGAAAGGGACAGAGAGATAGAAACATTAATGAGAGAGAAACATCACCAATCGGCTGTCTCCTGCCTCCTGCATGGGAATGGAGCCTGCAACCTGGGCATGTGCCCTGACCGGGAATTGAACCTGTGACCTCTTGGTTCCTGGGTCCACACTGAACCGCAGTGCCACACAGGCTGGCCTAGAGGATGTTTATTAAAGCTGGGAAAAGTGAAATGAGAAAGGGCTGGGGAAATGAGCCGAGGCTGGTCTGCTTTGGTTCACTAAGACGTCAGAGAAAAGGGGGTTTGGGGGACAGGTTCAGGGGGTTTGCTGGGATGAACTGCCACTGCCCACTGCTGTCCTAATTGCAAGGCTCTTGGGGTCCCTGAGAGTTTAGGAGATGCCTGCCTGTAGGGGAGGAAAAGGGGTGGCGAGGTTCCGGCATGCTTCTGCAAGGAAGAGCCAGCCACTTCTTCTTCTTCTTCTTTTTTTAATTCTCACCCACGGATATGCTTATTGATTTTAGAGAAAGGGGAAGGGCAGGGGGAGAGGGAGAGAGAGAGAGAGAGTGAGCTCAACATTGATGTGAGAGAGAACATCTGTACATGCCTGACTGGGGATTGAACCTGCAACCTAGGTTCGTACCCTGACCAGGAATCCAGCCTTTCAGTGTATGGGACAACACTCCTACCAACTGAGCCACATTGGCTAGGGCTTAGTCACTTATTTTAACACTTCTGGGTTTTAGATTCATCTTTTTTTTAAGCTTCTCATCTTTAAGGAGTTTGAACCATGTGATTGAAAAGGAGCTTCTCTAGCTATAGAGTCCGTGATTCTATGATACAGGAAGATTATTTTGATGATAAAGTACAAAATTGGTTAGATGGTAGAAACTGGAGGTAGGAGTATTACTTAGGAAGCCGCTGTACTATCAGACATGAAGCTTCCTGTTGCCTCTTGTGAGAGACTCCAGGTGTAGGGGGAAGGCCTTGATTGCATGTGATGGTACTTGACACCATAGCTCTATAACAATTTGAGTTCTGTAAGGTACCACCCCAGAGTGCTGGGGTCCAATCCCAGCGGGTCCAGGGGTCCCCAAAGGTGTGGATGGAGTCGGCGAAGAAGGAATGACACGAAGACAGCCTTCAGTTGATCAGCAGCCTAGTCAGGACCTCTAGCCGGAGTTCTGGTTAGGAACTGACCGAGGATCTGATGAGGATCTGGTGAGGATCTGGTGAGGATCTGGTGAGGATCTGATGTTTATTGTCTTGTTACATCTATATTTATATCAGCCGATTTTAATCCTGTCAATTTCTATTACAAAGGTTAGGGCGTTTCTTATCTCCATTCCAGGGAGTAAAGATTATGTAGCTTAACTACCCGCCTGGCACTTAATTAAGGGGTTGTATCCCCTCCCTAACCTCAGGGAAAAATCCCCACCTGGGAAAACAACCTTTCTCAGAGAGGTGACCTTGGTTAAAACACATGGCACTAAGGAGAACAAACATATTAAGAACAATATGCTATATATGCCAGGTCCCTTGAAACATATGCTGTGCAGATGTTTCTTTCCTGCAGCGACTGTGTCAAGCAGCAAGGATGGACCGGCTTCCGGCACCAGAGGACACCCACCCTTGGGACACCTGGAGAAGTACGGAAATTGGTAAACTGTTCTGGGGAAGGAGTGATTACTCATTTGGTGGGCCTCAGATTTATATCATTTCTCTTGGGCAATAAACTGAGAAGGGCAAAAATAACAGTAGTTCCTTATTGTTTGTCTTTAGATGTTGTGTAAAGTTTTCCAATTTACAAAATAGTTTCACAGGCATTACCTCATTTGCTTCCCACCACAGTCTCCTCAGGGAGGTGCTCCCTCCATTTTGTGGATGAGGAGAGGCTGTAATTTCTCAAAGTCTCTCGAATGTAGGCCTCCTCATTCTAAGTGCAGTTAACTTTCCCTTGCTTCATGTTCCTCAGACAGAAAACAGGAGCTCACTTCTTCCATTAATTAATGAATTCAGCACATGTTTATTAAGTGCCCAATTTACATCAAGTACTCTACCAATATGAGGTCCACAAGAGGGCATATATTTAAGGAAAAAAACCTTTTGCTGAGTTTTAAAAATTTTGTAAAGTAGAGGAAAGGATTCCTTTAATCACACCACCCGGGCAGCGGTTCTCAACCTGTGGGTCGCGAATAATGAAAATACATCCTGCATATCAGATATTTACATTAAGATTCATAACAGTAGCAAAATTACAGTTATGAAGTAGCAACGAAAATAATTTTATGGTTGGAGGTCACCACAACATGAGGAACTGTATTAAAGGGTCGAGGCATTAGGAAGGTTGAGAACCACTAGAGTTATAGGTATATTTAGACTTTTTTCTTTGCCCATATTTGTAATTATTGAGATCATACTATATATATAACTTTGTATATTGATTTTTTTACTTGTTATGAATTTTCTCATATTAATAAACTTTTTTAAAAACCTTTAAAAAGGGCTGTCTAACATGATGTTAATGGAAGATTCATAACTTAATAATTTTCTTATTGTTAGACATCTGGATTATTTCTTTTTCCTCTTTTCATTCCTTTTTTATTGTTAATCCTCATCCAAAGATATTTTTTCCATTGATTTTTAGACAGAGTAGAAGGAGGGGGAGAGACAGAGAGACAGAAACATCAATATGAGAGAGACACATTGATTGGTTGCCTTCAGCATGTACCCAGGTCTGAGCTGGGAATTGAGCCCACAACCAAGTTACAAGCCCTTGACCAGAATCGAACCTGGAAGCCTTCAATCTGTGGGCCAATGCTCCAACCACTGAGCCAAACTGGCTAGGTTTTGTTGTTTTTCTGGATCTGGAGCTGAAATGCAATTGAGGCCTAGATGTTGTCTCTAGAGGGGTGACCTTTTGTATCTGGCTGTAAATTGCTCAGCCAGTTTGTTTGGCTGTTTGCTTCAGTTTCTCCATTCCACTTGTCCTGGCTTGCTGGCCTGGCTCAGTAGGATTTCTTTTATAAGTATGTCATATCCAGACAAATATGGGCACCTTAAGGGTAGTTGTCCTGGGTGGCTAGTCATATATTCCAAAAGTTCTGTCATTAATTAAAATATTTTGATCACTTACCATGTAGAGTTGTTCTTAAAACCAGTCTGAGCCTTATAAAACCAGTTTTACTTCCTTATAATCACACTTAGTATTTCAGGCAGCCTGCCACTCTGTATTTATCATTCTTCCTGTTTCCAGTTCCCCTTTTCCTTTCTTGCTCTCGTTCGAGTTCAGATAGGGCTCCAACTACAGAGCCCAGGCAGCAGTGGAGGGAGATTGGCACGTTTCAGAAGACTTTGACCTTAAACAGCATGCGCCAATATCCTTTTAGTGCATTCTTGCCTGTGCCCCGTTTCTGCTTTGTGATCCCTGCCTGACCTGGCTTTTTAAGTTTTATTTTACAGAAAAGAACCATCAAATCCTCGGGCTGGGCACATAGCCTTGAACTGTCCTTCTCTCCGAGGAAACTGGGGAGAATAGGTAGGGAGAGGGCTCCATTGCTCTCTGCTCCTGCGCAGCTAGTTAATGTTCTACCAGCAATTCCCATTCTTGGGGAGACCAGGATCATGTTCCAACCCCACATCACTGCCCAGGGCAGAGGGCACTCTGTACAGAGAGCTGTGATTCCAGAGAGATCTGCATCTGACCTTCCTGCTTCATCTTTAGATTCTGCAGCCGTCTGTGGTTTTGCAGCTTCTCAGTTCTTGGTCTCCGGTTTTTCTTCTCCCAGTCTCTGCCCTGGGGAGAAAATGAGGATGTTTATTAGTGTGGGAAAAGAAACCCTGAAGTTTACACAGCAACATTTAACACAAAGCTGGGCTCCCTGCCTGTCGTGCCTCCCTCAAAACCCCAGTGAAATGTTAGCTGAGTGTACAAACATGTCTATAGGGTTTCTTCAAAGATGAGGCTATATTTGAAGGCTTTATATGCTGACTACCATCCTATCTGCTTTTCTCTTTTTCCAGAGGATTCTTCTTCTCACAAATAGGACTGAGGTTAATGGTCCAGAAATCCACCCGCCTTTCGCCTTTTATTAATTGCAGAATAAGTGATGCAGAGGCTTTTTGGAGAATATAGTTGTGGGGAGAGAGAGAGAGAGAGAGAGGAAGCATTGGAACACCTGCTGGAGAAGGGACCAGAGAGCACCATTAGTGAATGAACATCTCTGGAGCAGAATAAGGGAGGAGGTGGAAACAAGGAAGGAAGCAAAAGGAAGCCAAATAATTGTAGGAATTGAGGGCATAATCCACAGGGTAGTGCCTTCCCTACAGCCTTAAAGAAGAGTTGCCGGATGTGTGCCTGTTGGGGAAAGCCCCCAAAATCTAAATTCAGGATTGATTCCGATGAACTGACATACAGACATCATAAGACCTTTAATAGGAAAAACGGACATACAGGGGCAAAGCAGCTGCTTGCTGCCAGTGGTGGCCGGCCGGGAGGAGGTCTGCACTCCTCCCAGGACAGGGTCTCTTTTTTTATAGGGGGTTAATAGTAAAACCATATGTTGGATAGTCATGTAGACCACCAGAAAGAACAATGCATTTCTAAGTGAACAATAACATTAGGCAGTTATCCCACTCTATGCATTCATTTACCTCCTTCCTGGGCCCTGAACTTTATCTTTGGGTGGCATCCTGGCTTTCTGGGTGGTCAGCTAAACCTGAGGCTACCGAGAGTTAAACAGTCACAGAAGGTTAAACAGAGTCCAACATTTCCCAGACATCTTTACTGCTGGAGACATAGTGCATCTCTGAGCTCCCCTACAGTGCCTATTATGGGCATGGCGTTAAGCTAGGTCCTTGGGATACAGAGATAAATAAGACAAAGTCACTGTTTTCCAATGTATAGTCTAACCAAAAGAAGATAAGTAACAAATAGAAATTAGATGAGATTTAAAAAATGTGTGGTATTGTGGGCTGAGATACTGCTACTAACAGCTAACATTTATTGTTTACCCACCACCTAAGTGTTTTACGCATGAATTAACTCATTGACTCCTGACAACAACCTTGTGATGTATGTATTGCTTTAACCTCCGTTTCATAAGTAAAGACTCTGAGGCACAGAAACATTACCATTACCATTACCATTACCATTACCATTACCATTACCCAGTAGGCAAATCCGGTGCAGGTGGTCTGGCTTTAGAACATGTGCTCTTAAGTAGCATGGCCTCTAGTAAGTCATCCAGAGTGTGGGGAAGTCCTGCCGCTTCACATCTGTCTCCTTTGTGTTGCCTCTCTGCCCTTTATCTGGGATACTCTTTCCTAAAGACTCTGGTCAGGGGGCCGACTCACTGCCTATTCCTGGCCAGTCACTGGCCTTGGAGCTTAACTAGAGTAACCTAACCTTTACATGTAGCCTAGCACAGACTGACTTTATTTAGAATTCATAACTTTGCTTAGATTAACCTCTAAACCCACTAGATTTTATAAGGTTTTTGTAACCATCTCCTGTAATTTGCTAAGACTTTAACTAAAAGGCTGAGACTTAATTAGCTAAATTTCCTTTCATACCTACACCATCCCTCCTACACCACCATTGCCAGAGCTGTTTTTCAGAAACAAGCCCAGGATGGGGGTGGGGAGGGTTGGGGTGGGGGTGATCCAGCTGAAACTACCTGAGACTGGCCAAAGCAGCTTAGAGGACCCTGTAGTGACCTCCTCATGAACTTTTCTCATTATACCCTCATTATAATACGAAAATCTCCAGTTAGGGGCAGAGATTTTCCTTTGTTTTTGAACATGAGATGTATGAATAGCCATGTTTTCTGACTGTGCATCCCTATCTATACCTGTGACGACGAAGCTCACCTTAATGTTTATGCATGTTTTCCCCAAATAAAGATGAATTTGATCCTTTCTTGGGGATACACGGCTTTGGGAAGTGACCCACCCCAGCGTGTCTTTGTTGCTAACTTACAATACAGTTCCTTCTCATAGAATCATCTCAGAGTTGTCTTTTGGCTGGTAACACTAGCACTTTGTGTCTATTTTATTTAACTACATGATGCTCTATTTGTTGGAATATTTGACTCTTTGTGTTATAACCTTCTGGAGAGCAAAAACTTCTTTTTTTGGTAAAATGTTAAATAGTTGCAAAGATAAAGCTAATAAAATAATGAACTTACAAGTGCTCAACACACAGCTTCAGCAATTATTTCATAGTCAATCTTGTTTCATCTACAACCCCTTCCCCCAATTGGATTGTTCTAAAGCAAATCCAAGACATAAGATCATTTCATCTGTTAATACAGGGGTGGACAATAGTAGGTTTACAGTTGTGAGTATGTGAAACACATACTTGCTTATTAATAATTATATTATTTTCCTTATGAACAACTATAAAACTACTTTTGCCCACTCCTGTATTTCAGTTGTATTACTAACTTATTAAGGGCTTTAAAAAAAACATAACCAGAGCCCTGGCCAGTGTTGCTCGGTTGGTTGTAGTGTTGTCCCATACACCAAAGGGTTGTGGATTCGATCCCTGGTTGGGGCACTTGTGGGAGGCAACTAATCAATGTTTCTCTCTCACATTGATGTTTCCCTCTCTCTCTCAAATAAATTTAAAAAGTTATATAAAAAGACATAAGCACAATACCATTATCACACTAAAAATTAGTACTTCCTAAATATTATAAAATATTCAATATTCAGATTTCTGTAATTATCTCATAATTTTTCCCTTCCCTCTCTTCCTTTCCATTTTTCTTTCTTCCTTTATAACTCCTTATATGGATAGCTACATTATTTTCATCTCTCTTAGGTAAATACCTGGAAGTGGAATTGCTGGACTATATAGTTAACATTATAAGAAAATGCCAAACTCTTTTCCAGAGTGCTTGTTTCTTTTTATATTTCCACCAAGAATATATAAGAATACCGGTTGTTTCACATCCTCACAACACTTGGTGTTATCAGTCTTTTAAAGTTTAGCTATATGCCAATAACTTTTTTGAGTTCTTCTCGACGCCTTGCAGAATGTATTATTCATGTTATGCTTATCTTGTGGAATGTTTTCCCAACTCACCAGTTTTTCAATTCTTCCTATGTTTTATGCCAGTGTTTCCTAACATGGAATATATGTAAGAATCATCTGGGAGTTTCTCAAAATATACAAGCCTGTCTTATTCCAGACATACTGTATCAGCTTCTTCAAGGATGGTTGAAAAAGTTTCCTAAGATAATTCTGATTTATACTCTTGGTTTTTACCATTGCTTTTAGGCTCAAGTCCTACCTATGATAGCAGAGGTTCTCCATCCTTGGCTACATGTTAAAAGTATCTGGGAAGCTTTTAAAAAAAAGCAATGCCTGGGTTCCACCTCACACTAATTGAATTGAAATCTGTGGGTAAGGACTGAGTATCAGTTGTTTCTAGAATTCTGATGAATAGCCATGTTTCCCATTGGATTTATCTCTGTCTTCTTTTGTGGCATTTATCTTTTTCTATTTTTATATTATAACTAGAGTTCCAGTGCATGAAATTTGTGCTCTCAGGGGGTGGGTCCCTCAGCCTGGATTGCGAGAGGGCGCAGGCCAGGCCGAGGGACCCCACTGGTACATGATCGGGGCCAGGGAGGGACATGGGAGGTTGGCCAGCTGGAGAGGGACTACAGGAGGGCCCCAGGGCATGTCTGGCCTGTCTTGCTCAGTTCCGATCGGCGGACCCCAGCAGCAAGCTAACCTACCGGTTGGAGCTTCTGCCCCCTGGTGGTCAGTGCATGTTATAGTGAGCGGTTGAATGGCCTTAGTATATCATTAGCATATTACGCTTTGATTGGTTGAATGGCCGACCAGATGACTGGACACTTAGCATATTAGGCTTTTATTATATAGGATAATTTTTCATATCTTATCTCTTGCCTTAGGATTCATGTTCCTTGAGGTAGGAACCCTGCCTTTCTCATTTCTGTCTCTTTCATGGGATCTAACACTGAGACTTGTAGCACAGTTGGTGCTCCATAAGAATTTCATGGGCACATAAATTGGTCATTAGGAAGAGTCTGTGGTCATTAGGAAGAGATAGGCTGTGTCCTGAGTCTCAGGTACACGTGTTAATGCGACAAGTTCCTGTCCTCTGTGGGGTCATTGTTGCTCTTGATGACTGGTGTGTTAACTCCTCTGTGAATAACAGATGGATCATTGCCCTGTGTGGTATTTGTTTTCAGACACAGCATTGGGACTAAGAATTAGATGTGTATATGGGGTTAAGGGGCCAGGATGGATAAGGAGACAGATCTAATTAGAATGGAGGAATTATACTAGAGAGAAGTGGTAAAGAGAATGAGGAAGAAAGAAATTTGAACTGATTTGGTAGACCAGGGCAGGCCACAGTAGACTCTTGAGTAGGAGAGTGAACCAGTTTTTAGGAAGTTAATGAGTTGTGCAAGGCAGAGTCCATTAAAGACCAGAGATAAAAAGTCAAGCTGTACTCCTATTGGAGTTGCTGAGAGCCTGGGCTATTTAGGTTTATGGGAATGGAGGAAAGGGCTCAAATGAAAGATGTTCAAAAAGAATCAACAGGCTTTGATGATGTATGGAATCTGGGAGACAAAAAGCAAGAGCTGAGGAACAGTGGTGTCACTGTGACAAATGAATGAGCTGTGGGGGAAAGCCAGTTTAAATGGGAAGTAACTTCAGAAGTCATTTGGATATGAGTGTGCTGAGTACTGGGAAGCAGTAGGGGCTAGAGATGCAGATGTGGGAGCCATCTGCACAGAGGTCACTGAAGCTGGGGGAAGGGGAGGATGGTGTGGGGGGAGATAGCAGGGTCTGAGAACTAATTCTGGTGTGTGTGGGCCACAGGAGGAGGACACCCAAGGAGGAAAAAGTCGTCTATGGTCTTAGAGGTTATAAAAGTGAGCAATGTGAGGACGGTGAAAACATCTTTGAGTCAAGATGGGGATACTGAGGATGGAGGAGAAACTTGGTGATGAGGAAAGGGAAAGACAGCATACATTTCAATCGCTTGGAAATGAAGGAAATGAGATAACAGGCTAATACTGGAATGAATGAAGGTTATTTGGGTGCGAAGATCTTTGACCCTGTGAGGTGGCAGAAAAACTGACCTTGTGACAGGAACATAGTGTCAGAGAGATTTCTACAGGACAGAACTCATGGAGACTTCATGTGAGTGAAGCCCTGTTGCTGCATCTGATTCACTGGAGCCACTGGTGTGGGGAGTTATTTGTCCCTAATGAAGAGGCTGGGAATTTTTCACTCATGAAATCATCTTTCCCAGAGCAAAGATGATTTCCAGGCAGTTTGCAGCTGTGGGCTGTTGCTTCTTGACAGACTCACTTTGTTAGCTGGTGTGCAAATAAAATTAGCTACTTCTCTGATCACTAGGTAGAATATCTGTAGACTTAGAAATAGGCTTTGACTACCAGTTAGGTAATTTCTATTTCTTCTGCCTGTAAAGAAGACATTGTCTAAAGCATTATCAACTGTGAGGCAGCATATTGATGTCTGATATATAATTTTTATTATAAATATAGAGCAAATTTTACAAATAATTCAGAAGTGGCCTTAGCCAGACAAAATTAAATAACAGAGAATAGCACAGATGAGGGGGAAGTATTTACAGTCTGTGTCAGGGTCAGAAAACCCTGAAAGAGGTACCTGAGTACAGAGAACTCCCAACTAACCCTCTCTGGGGGGTCTCTTAGACACAGTATGAGATCCAGTAATCAATATCGAATAAATTATTTCTCTCAACAGCCCCAAAGAAAGTCATCCGTGTGGAAGGCTGGGTGGGCAATAGTTTGCCTCTCCTTCCCTTGCCCTTCTTTTTTATTCTGACACAATGGGACTCAGACCCCATGGGAGAAAAATTCCAGAGCCTGGGGCCCAGTTATGATCCTCCCCTGTGTCCTAAGGAGCGTCAGCACCAGTGCAGCTTTCTGGGTTGTAAACAATGGCAACAGTGTGAGTGACAGTGTTCCTTTCAGGGCTACCACTTCTCAAGGACCAAATACACCTTAGCAGAGGCCCAGGTTTCCTGAGACAGTAAGTGGGGAAGATGGATAGAACTTGCACTGGCAGAAACATGGACTCAAATGGTGGCTGATGATTCGCTTAAGATGCCCGGGACTGACTTAGATCCACCTCCAGCCATGAATGAGAGAAACTGGGTCTTCTTTTCCACTTGGAGCCACTGACACAAAATATTGAGGAGCTCCTGGTCAAGGGAGGGGCATAGGTGGCTTCTTTCACTTAAGGTCCTCAGATTGGCTTATAAAGCAAAGCTAAGTAAAATTAACCCCTTTCGCATAAGGAGTTACAAAGATTAAAATGGTGAAATGTCTCAGAGACGGGAACAAACCCAGTACCCCAAATTGTGCATTCTTTAATAATTATTTAAATAATCTCTGAAGGGTAACTCTGATTCGTTTCTGAAATTCCTAGCAGATTGTTTGTTTTTTTGTTAATCCTCACCCGAGGATATTTTTTCCGTTAATTTTTAGAGAGTGAAAGGAAGGTGGGGAGGGGGAGAATTAGAGAAGAAGAGAAACACCTACACTAGAGGAACTCATTGATTGGTTGCCTCCTGTATGAATGTAACTGGGGCCAGGAATCCAACCTGCAACCCAGGTACAGGCCTTTGACTAGGAATCAAATCTGAGACCCTTAGTTCCGTGGGCCAATGCTCTAATCACTGAGCAACACCAGCCACGGCTAGACTGTTTTTTATTGGGAGCAGAGTATCCTCTAAAACTGTAACCTCTTTCCTCTGTAGGCATATCCTTGAATAAAAGCCAATAAAGTTATTAAAACATGTGCTTTTTTAAAAACATTTTCCCTTGGGAATCACCTATAGTTTTCCTAGTTGCTTCTAGGTTTCTCTGAAGACAGTCTTGCCAAAGGGCTTAGGTGGTATTCTAGACAAGCAGAAAAGTGTTTAGACACCCTGACAATGGACAAAGGTGTAGAATTTCCGTGTTGAGACTTGCTTATATATTTATTTTCCTGTGTGGTCCATTCACACTGGGCTTTGGAGAGATAGGAGAAGCTTTTAGTTTTTCTCTCTCTTCTTTTCTGATACACGTATTTCAGTGGATAAGGATGTAACTCTCAAAGTTATGGCAAATTCAAGTTAGACTCCAACAGGAAGGAATGAAGGTGGGCTCAATAGGTAAGTTTAGAACAAGTCTCGGTCAGGGAATGTGGAGGGGCTGGAGGTTCTGGCAACTCTCTCCCAAGGTCTGCTTTGCCAAATTTCAATGACAAGGAAGGTTGAGCTTCCTACAGACTCCCGGATGTGCCTTTTCATCTGTTGACACTGAAGGGAGGGGCTGTGACCGGGAACCTGGAGGTGTCTCATGAGTGAGTAAAGGAGGAGGGGAAAAGAGGCTTCTTCTCCCCTCCCCCCCTCCCCCCGCGCCCCCGAGGGCAAAGGGGTCTCCTAGTGATGGAGATGAGAAGCTGGGAATCAGTCAGCAGTGCAGTGAGCAGAGCTGGTTGCATTACTTCTTTTTTACTTCTGAATAAAGCGTTTCTGTGGCTGTTGGGGACGGAGAGACATGAGTTGGCTTCTTTGATTCCTGGCCATTGAAGTTCAGGGAAGAATATGTAATTTCATCCGTCTGAAAGGCATGAGAAGTGATCAATTAAGTCAGTGTCATAGGTCAGGCCCTCACCTTGCCTGGTGTGATTCGGCACCACCTGCTCTCACCACTTTGAAACTTCTAGCTTTGCAGAAGGGCTTTTATTACCCATTATTCCTGCACACTGACATCCTTTGAATGGTCATTAGAAGAGACAGATTATGTATTCATACAATGGAAGAGGATGATACAGCAATGAGAATGAACAGCTACAAATGCATACAACAATATGGATGAATCTCACAAAACCATTTTGAATGAAAGAAACAAGATAAATATGAGGATATACTGTGTTTTTCAAAATAAGAGCATAAACAGGCAAAACGAATGCATTGGAAGTCAGGATATGTTTACACTTTGAAGGGAAGTGACTGGAAGGTTTCATTTTGCAGGGACATGACATGTTTTGTTTCTTCATTACAGTGCTGCTTTGAGAGAAGCTCAGTAAAATTATTATAAACTAAAGGAACTAAGACCTCAGACCCATTGGATTAGACATTATCTTTTGACAGGAAGAGCAGGGTCAGATTGAAGATAGAGGAGGGAGAATGACCTGCTGCCTTCCTTATATTAGACACTGTGCTTTGCATGTGTTATCTCATTTCATCCTTTCAACTTCTTTCTGAAGTAGGCAGCATGCCCATATTACAGATGACAAAGCTGAGGATCAAAGAGGTTAAGTTACTTGCTCAAGGTTACAGAGCTACTAAGAGTCACTGGAGGATTCAAACACAGGATGGGGATACTCCAGAACCCACGTTCTTGCATGAGGTAGACCCAATGGGAGTAGTTAACCAATACATCCTTGTTTGTTGCTGCATTGAGGAACTCTGACTCAAATTTGATTGCATTTGTGTCTTCAAGAGTAACCCATCCTCTATAGAGCTATATGCATGAGAAAATGAGCCAATGAAACTGGCTGTGCTTACCTTCTTAGGTGCGTTGTCAGAGAGGCCCTGACCTGGGAGTTGAAAGAAGAGTTAGCAATCCATGAAAATGCAAAACTGACTTATAGCCTTACAGCCTTAGTGTTGTTAAACTGTTGTGATTTCTAGCTGAAGGAGGTGGCAGGCAGTGGGAAGGTGGGGTGGGGCGGTGGTCCATGATCACTTAAAGAATTCGATTCCCTCAGAGTCTGTGGTCCAAACCCAGGGTGTTAGTGCCAGTGGAGGGGGGGTGGGGGAGAAGTGGGCAGAGAGGCAACAGTAGAGCCACAGAGGCCGCAGACCACTTCTGAAGATTTTTTCCAGTTGACAAGGCCTTGATTTTTTGCCCAGTTGTGTTTCTAAGCACTAGACACCAGTGGCAAGGATGGGCAGCACCCAGAGCACCACAAGACAGGGAAAGTTTCACCAAAGGAGAGTGCCCACATCCGTAACAGAGGAGGAGGGGAAGGGGTAAGGTGAGGAATGGCTTTGGAAAACATGTCCCTCTTACCCAGGCCTGCCAGGTCTGGCTGAGTGAGTCTCTCCCAGGGCTGGGTCTCAGGGGAATCTTTTGTGACTAGAAGGGTGTGAGGACCTACGGCAGCCTAAGGTTGGGAAGTGGAGATCCCCTCTAACATTTCAGAAGGTACTGAGTCCTTGGGACCAGGTTTCCTGCTAGGGAAGGGCACGTGGTGGAACACACCAGCTCTCGCTGGTGATGGTTTTACTTACTGTGGTTGGAGGCTGAGGGTTTGTGCTCTGTGAGATCGCGCTGGTCGCTTGCCCTAAACAAATATCAGAGACTGTGACTGCTATTCCCAAGCATAAGATCTTTGCTCCTTGAAGTAGGAAGGACATTGTGAGCAGTAAATTTCTTGGGGCTCCTCAGTGCTCATTTACACCAGAGTTGGTACTGCCTTTCCTCGTAGGCCTCCTCTTTAGTGTACCCACCGTCCCTTCCAGTGTGCACTCCTTTCCTGCTGCCCTGACGTTCACATAGGTCCATTCCTTATCAACTGCCTCTGAGCCTACTTCTACCCTGACACCTTTCCCTTTTGAAGGTAGATGCTGTTTTTATCTTCACTTTATTTATTGCCTAAGGTGCCTTCAGTTTCTGCTTTTTGTTAGGTTCTCTTCCTGTCCCTACCCTCTCTTCTCCTTCTCTTCCTGTGGTTGACAGAGCACAGGACTCACTTTCTCTAGCTTCTCTTTTTGTATTTTCATTTGTTTTCCTTCTTGGACCTTGGCTTCCCTGACTGGGGACCTAGTTGCATAATCTGCCCCCTCTAAACCAGATGGAGATGGGAATAACCATGTCCCAAGGGAGAGGGGTACAGGAAGCTTGAAAACCAGGGAAGAAGAGGCCTCAGGAATCCATGCTGAGAAGCAGAGGTTTAGGAAGGAGGAGGAGCAGATCCAGGCCCAGAGACAGAGGGGAAGTCTCCTTCCCTCTCCCAAGCATGGTCGTTAGCTTTGGAGGAAGCGGGACAAGAGGGAAGGCCATCATACCCTCCAGTCTTTCTGAAATACAGGAAGTACACCAGGGCTGCTATCAGAGCTACGCCAGCCAGGACGCCAATCACGATGCCGGCAATAGCCCCATCTGAGAGGCCAGGACTTGGTAGTGTTGGACCATCTGTCATGGATAGAAAAGAGAAGAATGAGTGGAGGTGATGTTATTTTACAGCGGAGGTGCCCTTTGAGGTAAATAGCTGACTACATCCTTATAATATTTTCTCTCACTGTATTTCTAGGTTGGTGCTCAGACTTGCCACAATTCCATCCTGGCCTTTCTACACAAAGATACTTTTGGAGCTTTGGAAATGTGAGAAAGGCAGATTTCCATTTTTGTAAGTTATAACTTCCCACCTTTCATGGTTGCCTGTTTTTCTGTACCAGGTATGGCAGCCATGAATATGTGCCACTCAGATCTCCTGTGATGGGGACTTAATTGATGGAAGGTGGTAAATGCACCACCTGCTTTGCACAGAGACTTCCCACAGGTTCTCAGAAGGGATATGAAATAAGTCCATTCTGTGAGGAATGGTTTTCCTCTATGGGTGACTTTAGCTCAGACACCCCATCAGCTTTGCAGATACTCTCTTAGAACCACACCGCAACTTAAAATTTTCTCCTCTTTCTCCTTCACAGTAATCAGATCTGCATCCTGGTCAGAGAAATCTCCTAGGCTTTTTCCACTTCCACCCACCTTTCTTTAACAGGCATTTTTTCCAATAAATATTTGTATATCTAATCCCATCTTGGCTGCATCTCAGGGGATGAAACTGAACAAACTAGGCTTGAAACTTTGCACCCAACTTCTTTTTATTTTCCTTTATTTAGTCAGTAACCATGTCCCAATGATTTTTGTGAGTGATGTTCCCCTAACTCCCAAATATAAATAAATTTGCATCTACATCTTCTCTTTTATTTCTGTTGTCCTCACTGGTCAACTCAAGATTGATGATTATTTATATTAGCTACTGGTATGGGGTACTTACTATGTTCCAGGCTCTGTGCTCAATACTTTAGTTATATCTCATTAATTCATATAATAACCCTGTCAGATAGACATTATTTCCATTTTATTGATGAAAAAATTGAGTCTTAGAGTGTTAAAAAATTTACCCAAAGTCATATGTTTAGTAAGAGGTGGATCTGGGTGTCAACTCTAGGACCACCTGACTTCATAGAGGCCAATGATAATGGTAGTAATAAGACCAGCTAACACTTATGGAACTTTTCTGCTGCATGTGGCATTTGCTAAGGGTTTAATTGATTATTACATTACATATTTAAAGCAATATAATGAAGCAGGTACTGTTACTGTACTTTTCAGTAGTGGAAATGGGGCCCAGAAAGTAAAGAATCTTGTGGAGAACCAAGATGGCGGCATAGGTAAACACCGGAGATTGCTGCCGCAAACAACCACTTCAAAAATACAAATAAAAGACTGAACGGACATCACCCAGAACCACAGGAAGGCTGGCTGAGGAGAGACTCTTCAACTAGAAGGAAAGAGAACAGCATACCGAGGCTCAGAGGAGGCGCAGTGTGGAAAATACAAAAGTACAGAGGTGTGTGTGGAGCCGGCTGGTGGCTGAGGGAGCGGTTGTCGTTTTCAATCAGGAGGGAGTCTCAGACTCTGAGCTCCAGATCCGGGCGAGTCTCTAGGGACTTAGACTCAAACGGGAGAAGCGGGATTGTCTGGCATCAGTCGGAACATGAGGGCAGCTTTCTCTCTGAGGTTTGCAGCAGTTGCTGGGGTTCTGAGAAGCAGAGCCTCTGGGAATGGGACTGAGAGCAGCCATAATTGTTCCCTCCACCCGCCCTGTTGATACCCTGCGACCCGACCAGGAGCGCCATTTGCCAGATAACATTGGCGAATATGTTCTCCCATGCAGTGGGCTTTCTTATTGTTTTGTTGATGGTTTCTTTTACTGTGCAGAAGCTTTTTATTTTGATGTAGTCACATTTGTTTATTTTCTCTTTAGTTTCCAATACCCTAGGAGCTGTATCAGTGAAGAAATTGCTTCGGCATATGTCTGAGATTTTATTGCCTTTGGATTCCTCTAGTATTTTTATGGTTTCCCGTCTTACATTTAAATCCTTTATCGATTTTG